CAAAATGGAGGATTAACATGCATTCACTATGATTTTTTCACTTTAATTCTTCTTTTAGTGCAATAAAAATAACTTTTATGTCGTAACTTTTCATATTGAAACATTTTTTTCCTGTATCAACTAAGTGCTATGACCATCTAAAACTATAATTTGAGGAGGAATGTACTCATAAGAAATGTCTGCACCCAGTACAACAGGCTCATTACTTGGGACAAACATAAATAAAGATGAGTGGTTATATTTACTGCCGATCATGATTAAGTCTCAGGTGATTTTACTGCTGCAGCTTAATGACATTCAGTCTGGTTCAAGTATCTGGTCCAATTACTGCACGTCTAACACAGAGAATTTATGTTCAAATAAACTGTACAATAATATATATATATGTACATATGTTTGTCTGTGTGTACGTGTGGATATACTGTATAGTCACATTATCTATACACATTTATTTATTTACCTAAAATACAACAATTCATAAAATCTCTAGAAAATTAAGTGTATAAAGAAGAGAATTAAAAGAAATTATTGATTTGCCTTATCTAAATTAATCATTTATATTCCACAATTTATGAGCTCCATCACTATATTAGTCATCAGCCGTGTCCAACAGGTGAAGCCTGTTTTAAGAAATAAGACCAGATATAGATAATAATATAAATTATATTTATATATACAGTTTATAAACTGTGTTACAACGTGGTTTGTAGTAAAACAATAAAATATGCCAAAATAATTTGTTTATTTTATTATTCATTATTTTTATTTTATAAATTAGAACAAGGAATAAAATACTACAAAATTCAATTCAGTAGCATCTTGTCTGGTTGGTTGAACAAAGAGGAAGTCTGGAAGAGCCGGAGGGGTTTTGTGTAAGATGATATGAAAAAAAAACCTCTCAGTTTTTGCACAAATGTTTCCTGGTACTTAAGGATGACGTTGAGTGATTTACTGAAATTTATTAAGAAAAATAAATATTACTGCACACTAAGTAAAACACATGAGTGAAGATGCATGCCATCCTCATAAAAATAAAATTAAATGTTGTATATGCATAATACATATGCAATATATGATCCAGACCATGTATGTGCCCTATTGTATGGCAGAGGTCCCCTATTTTTTTTTTCAAGTTGTTTCATATGAATTTAAACAAACATCTATTTCTATCTCTCTCTATCTCTCTCTCTCTTTCGTCGAACAGCACAATGCCTGACCTGTCGTCAGTGCCCTATTGGTCTACTTGGGACGTGTCTGTCTGGAAGCAACGTCACATGTAACAGTGCAGCTGAGAGCTGCTTTACTGGAGAAATACGTAAGGAAACCTCTACAACACTGTGAATACTGTGAATACAATACAAATGCTGCACTACCACATATCGATTCAACAATCTCACATAAAGGTTCTTTGGACTTTATCACATGGTAAAATTGCCCAGTTGTCTTTAAATGCTCAGGAGTTTCCACACTAATAAATGAAAAGTATACAAAATTCTGGGAAGTACCAGAGTAATCAAATTTTCTACTAATGTTCCTAAGTATTTGAAATGTTTTTATTTAGCAAATTTAGCTAAAATAATGAGAAAATTAATTGTTAAACCTGTAGGGGTTGCTATTGTTGCACAGTCTGCGTTGCTCACTGCCTTAAACGAGCTCCCTTTTTAAATTTTTTACATTTGCATTGTTTTTCCCTCCAGAGTTAGAACAGTAAAGAGAGAAGCTCACCTGCACACCCGCGGCTGCCTGAATCAAACCTGATGTGGGAAAGTCGCTGAATGTAGCATCCTGGCACTAGTTACAACTATCAGTGTCCGGTGTTGTACCCACAGAACTGTTATGGAGGCACTTCTTGTCCAGCTCCCTAAATCACTGGGCCCTCTGTGTTAACCATCCTGTCCTCTCTTTGGGCATGTGGGGAGCTGTAGTTTCCACACTTCGATCCCTGTTTCCCAAAATTTCTTAAGTGATCTATATAATCAGAATACTTTACTATTTACTCTCATGATTTGTGTATTAACATGTATTGAAGAAAACATCATAAAATAAATTAAGCATTATTAAAATAATCTTCTGCCTTGTGTCATCATTATAAAATACAGATTTCAGGGCCATGCTAGCATCAAAGGCACTGAGGTCATGTCCTTTTATATAATGTTTTAATTTTAGTTGTTTACTTTTATATGTAACCAGGAGGGGATTTTAATTATGCAGAGTCAATTTTTGTAAGGTTTTATGTCCAGCATTCCAGTATATTTTAAATGCGACTTTTTTAGGTCAAAAATAAATAAATAAAACAGTTTAGTAAGTTTCACCACCCAGAATTTAAAGGAAACAGTAGAACATTTTATACACACATTTTATAACCTTTAGCTGATAGAATAAAAAGAAAACAAGTAA